GTAATGTCTTTGAAGATAAGTATAACACTTGCTGTATTTTAGTACTCGAGGATAAGAAATTGTAATTTTAATGATACTGTTCACCAAGCTGAATATAAGATCTTTTTAATATAAGATGGAGTTGAACCCTCTTTCATGCCCTTGTTTAGAATCTGTGAACCTGCAAACAAAACCAGCATGAAGCCCGTGTTGTTTATTCAGAACAGAATCTTTAACTTATCGTTCGCATTTCCCACCCAAGCATGGCACAACTATTCCTGATATCATCATCATCACCTGTGCGTACCATAAAATCACAACCAAACCTGATTCAATCCTGCCCCCTTGTGACAACACTGGGATTTTTTTTTTTAACTGGACTGCCGGATACTTTTTGGTCCCAGCACACAAAACAGAAATATCACAGAGCCTAATGTTGATTGTTTTTAAACTCCCAGGAAGAGAACCGTTAGAAACAAAACTGAGTCACAGTAACTAAGAGATGTGTTCACCAGGACGTGTCTCACTCAGAGCGGAGATAATCTACTCACGTAAGAAAAAAGTGCATCGAAAACATTCGTTTCTCAGTTATTTAATCCCTTTGATTTCAAAGAATATTTGGAATATAAAATGATTAAAATCAACAATTATAAACAAGATAAAATATGACAGGAATATAAACAGAAGGTGGGGGCTGCATTTACATTGTGCATTTATATTGTACAATTCATCGTTTATTCTGGTTTTACATTCTCGCTGTTGTCAGAGTCTACCAGTACTGATAAAAAGTAGAATCACAGGCCATTCATGAAAAGAGCGGAGCATGAACTGCGTGCCCTGCGAGGCAGAGAAATACTGCAGAAGCTCTTTGACTGATCGGGGTGAAGAGTGAGGCCAGAGAAGGGAAAGCTTGCTTTCTCTTATCTATCAGCAGACCAGGAGGTGCTGGTCTCCTGATAGTCTTGATACATGGAGGTGCTCAATTAAGCTAAGAAAAATTCAGATATTCTTATTTATTCATTTCCTTCAGCACAAAATGTGTGTTTTTGAAAACATTAGAAACTTGCCAGCATGTTTCTGTCAATTTAAATGTCTTTGAAATCTCCCCACCTCTCAACTCTCTCCTGCACTTTAAAGGTGACAAACCACCGTCCCTGCAGTCGTATTTATCAGATATTACCAGAGCTTTATTAACTGTTTTTTTTTCCCTTGCTCAACTTCTATACATGTGAATTAGAACATGTCTTGCTGGCTTAAAGCAACACAATTCAGGCTGCGAGTCTTAATATTTCAACATTATCTAAACAGCCGTCTGGTGACAGCAATCAAATCACCAGAGCAAAACGGCAGCATGGCGAAAACCCGACCCTACTGCCCAGGAGAGTATGAAACATACACAGTGATGCATTTTGGAAAGCTTGTTAAGCAGAAGACAGAAGGACAAGAAGATCCAGGGGCTTGCTTCGAGTGCTTCTCATTTTGTACTCATTAGTGTCCTCTCATAGTTTAAAAAAGCAAAGCACAAGAACTCCAATAAACTCTGCCTGACCTGCAGTTAAAAAGTAAAAGCAAAAGAACTCATTCTATTTAGAAAATGTTCTGGGATTGTTAATTTTCAAAATTTCATTAAGTGCTTAATATAAAAGAGAGGCCTTCAGTATACAATCACCACATCATCTAAACCTGCCTTTGTACTAAACCCATTTATTTACTGGTAGATAAACGCAGGCAGGCAACTGTTCTCTAGTATTGCAGACATTTTGGCACCAAAGCCTTATAGGCACAAAGAAGCAGCCTCAGGAGTCTATGCTGTGTTAACAGGCATCATTGTAAATAAGCGCAGGTGTAATACTGTCTTTATTAGATCTGAAGTGATGCAGACTTCCTCCTCTTGACTCAAGTTCATAAACAGTGCTGAGAGCAGAAAAGAAAAGCACACAGTGCAAATGGCAGAGAGGTTTCAAACTATCAGTGACTGGCAGCTGTAACAAAAGACGGAAGGGACACTATACTGTAACCTACTGAAGCATCAAATGTTTTCAGTGCTGATTTGGGTTCAAATGAATTCTCTGTAGTCACAGCTGTTTCTGGAATGTATGAAAATAAGTCTCTTCCATTATAGTTTTTTTGCTGTTTGGTTTCCTCGACTCATGCTAGTTATGTAAAATTAAGATGCAAAATGGAAATGGCAGAAAAACCTTACATGAGTTCATGTTCAAATTTCACATTCTTGTGAGCACACACACACACGTGCCGTCACGTGTATTGTTTAACCACTCATGATTAACTTGTCGAATGGCTGCTGTATCAATCTTCCCACAAAGTAAGTAGTTTAAAGGAAAGGCGGTGTCAGAAATACACCTCCAGATGGCTCGGTGCCACGTATTCTACATTCACACACCTGCAAATGACATTTAAGTGCATCTAATGGGTGACGTTCACCCCACTGAGGTGTACAATAAATGCCAAGGCATCAATTAAGTACTTACAAGCCAATTTTGTGCAGTTTTGAGAGACAGAGAAGTTAGCTGACACCATCAGTCTCAGTGTGGTAAACTCGAACCAGCTGGTACGTCAAGGTTTGTTCAAATGAAAACGCTGAGAATTGCTAACAAATAGAGTCCGACTCTGGTTTATCTATCCCCACCCTCACATACACACACACACACATGCACGCACACACACACGCCTCACTCGCTCAGCACACTACTCCAGCTGTGACAAACACTGCAGTGCATTTTGTCTCGATGCAAACGAGTGATTTTCACATTAAGAGCTCAGACTGACGTC